TAAATAAAATGTAGGTAAGTAAAATTTGGCCCACAACTTAACCCATAATCTTCACAACAAAATCTAAAATCAAAGTGGCAAATGAATATTAAATATTATGAAAAGAAGAAAGGATAATTAAGAAAATTAATTTTCCGAATAGAGACAAGACGTGCATTATTAATTCATGGAGTAAACTTTCAGGTTTGGTATACCATCACAGAAAAAAAGTAATAAGTGGGAGAAAATGCTAGAATATTTACTGAACATGCATTTATCCTATTGTAGAATTTAATGAATTATGTGATGTGCATGATTTATAATGAAATATATACATAAGGGAAAGACTGTACATTCAAACAATAGCTCAATTTAAAATGTATACCTCTATGTAAACATAGTTTATATTATGTTTGTCCTTTTCAAGTGATTAAGCTATTTTTGGTGGGAAAATTCTGAGTACATAACATTGCTGCTGTTTCTTTGCATGGAGTCCATCATTGAATGGGAATGACCGCAACTGTGTACTAACCAACATTCCCACTAACACTGAAGGGAAGTTACTGCATATTACAGTGGTGCCTCGCATTACGATTGCCCCGTATTACGACGAAATCGCATTATGACAACGTTTTTGCGATCGATGGTCTAAATGGACTTATTTCGCTTTGCGATGATTGGTTCCCTGCTTCGGGAACCGATTCTTCACAAAACGACAATTTTTCTACAGCTGATTGGCGGTTTCAAAATGGCTGCCAGGTAAATGAAATGGCTCCCCGCTGTTTTCTGAGACGGATTCCTCGCAAGATAGCCACCGAAAATGGCTGCCCTATGGAGGATCTTCGCTGGACGGTGAGTTTCCAGCCCATTGGAACGCATTGAAGGGGTTTCAATGGGCTTTTTATTTTCACATTATGATGTTTTCGTTCTACAGTGATTTCACTGGAACGAATTAACATCATAATGCAAGGCACCACTCTATCAAAAATGGAGCTAAAGGCACAAGTATCAGCATGGGCAGGTACAGCAGAACAAGAGAAACAGAGGACTAGAGAGGGAAAAATGAATTGGCCTTCCTGAATCCCTTACAGCTTATGGTAAACTGGGATGAATAGAATAGAATTTATTTATTACAGTCAGGTGACCAGCCCACGAAACATATCCATGGCTAAAACATACAAAATACAGTTTAAAAATATACAAACAATTTACAAAACATACCATGTGGCCAAATAAACTGGGATGGGGCATAGTTGGTTAGTACCCTGAGCTGGAAGCCTGTTGTTGGAGGTAAGGAAGTTTCTTCAAAAAGCTTTTCTCCAAGAAGAAATTATTGTGCTGAGAAGGAAGGATGAGAAGAAAAAACTGAAGAAATGATTGGGGGAAAAAAATCATTAGAAGGGCTCAGGGGGAGGGGTACCCAATGTGGTGTAGGGGATAGAGGACATATTAGGACCTTTGAGACCAAGATTCGAATCGTGATTCAGTCATGGAAACTCTTTGGAGGACTGGAATTGGTAAAAAAAACACTCCTTAACACAGCTACACTAGGACTCTTTAATACAGTTATGCTATGACATTTACATATTGTAAATTTAAGACCAACAAAGAGAAAGTTTTTCTACTCTATATACAACCAATATATATATGGTGTTTTAACCCTAAGGCTGTTGCAAGAGCTAATAATAGTACAGTGGAACCTCGACTTTTGAACTTCCCTACCTATGAACATTTCGATTTATGAACCACTCTGTTCACAAAATCTTGCTTCGACTTACGAACGAAAAAAAAACATGTTCTGTTTAAAAGGTGTTCTCCTGCCCTTTTTTAAGCTAAACGGTATTTGGTTTTGTTTAAAAGGTGCTTGGGTTAAAAGGTTTTGTGTTTAGAAGGTGTTCCCTCCCTCCCTCCTTTCCTGCCCTTTTTTTTTGACCTAAGTTTATCTTAGGTCAAAAGAAGAAAACAGAAAAATATTTTCTCTTCCTAGTGGTAGAGTATGGATTAACCGGCTTTGCATTAGTTCCTATCTACTTGCAAATGGTGCCTCTACATAAGAACCAAAAACAGCCACGGATTAAATGGTTTTCAATGCATTCCTATGGGGAATTTTGCTTCGACTTACGAACGTTTTGACATACGAACACTGTTCCAATACGGATTAAGTCCGTAAATCGAGGTTCCACTGTAGATTAAGGATTTAAGATTAGCTTGATAGATAATGAGTAGTTTTTTAAAAAGAGAGAGAGAAAAGTCAGTTATACGGAAAGGAGCCCAAGCAGCTGTGAGTTCCTGAACAACAAAAAGTAGAATTACAAACAGTTCAAAAAAGGAAGAAAAATGGGAAACATCTAAATAAGCCAATGAAGCTACACAAAAGGCATAGCAAAGAGTAGAAAAAGAAAAAAAGGATAGGACAATAAAAGTTACAAGAAGGATCAGGGAACCAAGACTGAATACTGATAAGTAGCCCAGATTTTTTTTCTAGTGGTGTCAGGAAAGCTGAAGTGCATAAGGAGGCTGACAAAGGATGGTAAGATCAATAACAATAGCAAAAAATCTGAGAATGTTTGACACAAGAGGAAGAGGAAGGGAACTGTTGACACAGTACTAAGTAAAGATGAGGAAATATTCACATGTGAAAAAGAAAAGGAAGACTATTTCAACATTTGTCAGTTAATGAAAGAGAGGGAGATTACCTGGGAACTAGTAACTATTATGCTCTGTTAATCCTTGCATTTCTGCTGCACACCTGAGGAAAGTTAACCACCAAATTTCAAAACTCTGCAAAAGTAAGAATTTTCTTTTGTTAGGCAGAAATTGCTTCTACTGAAATTCTTTAGATGTTTCATATAAATGTTCTTTGAATAAGTCTTTGAAGAAATTTGTTGAGAACCGCAATCCACTTAGCTAGCCATATGCAGTTGGTCCTATTCCTCAGACAAAAGGAAGTACAATATTGTCACAGTTCTCAATCGTGTCATTTACCCACTGCAAAGAGGGGTGCAATCCTCACTCTACTGGAACTATGTGGAGTATCAGTGCAGAACCGATTAACAATGGCAGTCTTACCAGTGGCAAACAATAACTTTTCCACAGGTGTACTATAATTGATCTATCCATAATCCATTTAACCTGAGAAACAGCTAAATGAAGTGAAATAATGTAGGCTTTTGGTCACAATAATGATGATGATGTGCTGTCAAGTTGTTTCTGACTTATGGTGAAAATCTTTGATTTTCAGTGTTTTCTAGGTTTGCGGATGATTCACTATTTTCTTCTTCTGTGGGTGTCCTGGAACTGTGTGGCTTGCCCAAGACTACACAGGCTGGCTCTTTTCCAGGGAGGCATAGTGGAAATCAAAATCCCAACTTATCTAACTCACTAAACTATTCAGACAGACCCTGAGCCATAGGAAGATAGAATAAAAGTATATATGTATAAACATGGGACTAACATCAACAGGATTTAAATGAATCTCTAATAAATGTTTCAGCCTTTACTTTCCTTAGTAAGGTATATACCAGGAACCAAGGTAAAAGTTCTAAAAATGCTGAAACTGATTTAGGAAAACAACTATAAGAGCTACACCTGCTTCACAATTCTTTTATCAGTGGCAAAAGTTCAAAGAACTTATTACAGGCTACTTTGATTCCAATGGCAACAGCCACACAGGCTTGAAATATTTTTCACTTGAAAAGCTATCAATTCCTTGAACATCAGATGCAAAATAAAAAAGAGGCTCATGGTGCAGTAGTTAAACTGCTGTACTGAAGCCAAAACTGTCCTCATGACCTGGGGTTAAATCCCAGGTAGCCCACTCAAAGTTGACTCAGCCTTCTATCCTTCCGAGGTCAGTAAAATGAGTACCAAGCTCGCCGTGTAGCCTGCATAATTGACTTGTAAACCACCCAGAGGATGCTTCTTAAGGCAATATGGAGCAGTATATAAGCAGCAGCTGGTTTTGTTTGCTTGCTTCCTTGTTTTTGCTTTGGATGGATTTACAGACTAAAGACTGCACCATCTTGGAAATAATATTTAAACTTTTCCCTATGCTTTCAAATCTTCAATTAATCTTTTTCAGTAAAGCAGAACGTCTACAATAGATGCTGTTTTCCTGAGAACCCTTGCCATCCTCTGTATTCTTAGACCTACCAGGTTTACATTCAGTGGCTGGTACAAAAACTTTCCCATTTTCTGTTACTTTCCTTAATCAAAATCTGGAGAGTAAGCTCCTCAGAGCACAGCAGGCAATGCTTTGGACTCGTCTGAATATGTCACCCAGTTCCACTGAGGCAGCCTGCAAAGGCGGATTGGGCGGCTGTGAATGCACAAGAAGCAAGAAAAGTAGCCTCTGCAGACTAGGAATCCATGCAATTCCGCATCAGCACGCACCTTCCAGCTTCTACTGTCATCATCCACCCTCAAAGATTTATGGCAAGTTCTTTTTCCCTCCTTCTATTGTCAGGCAAAGGGCCGCCCAGGACGTCGGCATGTTCCATTATTTCCCAACGAAGAAACCAGGCATGCAACAGTTACGTGAACAGAGAGCCCATTTTTTTTCCTCATGACTGAACTCTTCGTGAAGGAAAAGAGAGAGAGAGAGAGAGAGAGAGAGAGAGAATTAGAGACCGGATCTGAGGACTGCGAAGACTGGGTGCCTGAGGAGGCCTGCGACGTTTGGCACACATTCGTTGGTACGTTCCAGAGTGGCTGCGGAACCATTGGCTGTCGCTGGGAGGGGTGGGGGTGGGAGGAAGAGCGCGCGACTCAGCCGGGCTCGTGCGCCAGCTGTCAGTCGGCCCGAACGGCAGC